AGCCCTGTGCTTCATGAATACGGTTAAGCTTCCTAGGGTATAACTTACCCTCAAAGGTAAGGTTTACCCTTGTGGTTCGTTGATGAATACAGCCACTGATCAATGAAGCTAAACCATGGCGTTTAGTCTTACATGTTGTTGTCAACAAAATGCCATTTTAAGTTTTAAATCAAAGTAGTTCTAACATATGTTCATTCCAAAAATTAACAAGCACCAACCCATTTCTAACATACAATTTCATCAACACGAAAAGTTACTTTCACAAGTTACTAGATAACGATATGGCTTCAACAGATGAAAAAATTTGTTGATCTTTCAACAATGAAATAAAAAACAATAAGTTCACAGCTGCTGGAGGTAATTACAAAGGCACATCATTCAGTTTTATTGCGACCAACAGCCGTGTCGGCGCGACCTTTCACCATCTCTTCATTCTTCTCGTTAATTACTCTTGTCACTTCTGCAGCTACTTTATCCTGAAATAGCAAATATTCTGGAGTTTTCCTTGCGTAATCCACCAGTGGTTCACCTGCTGCAGAAGATTTTGTTTCTTAGGGGCAATATACAGATTATGGCCGCGCTTGGGACCATTTGGTTTTGGTTTCTTCATCTTCTGCTTCACGCCTTTTGGCAAAGTAGTCTAGAAAAAACAATTTTAAAAGATACAAATTAAATGCGCGTTCAGGATTGAATACCACCAATCAATTTGAAAGCGAACCAGGAAAATCTATGCGAAGCAACTGCGGTTTAGCGAAAAAGAAAGACTTTTCACTAACCTTCTGCTTGACTTGATGTTGAACCATGTTTATCTCAGAAATAGAGTATATCCAGCAGCGAGAAAACAGGCGACAGATACAAACGAATGCAATCGGACACCGATGACAGATGCCTGGAGAAGTCTGATTGATCGGTCAAAACAAACTATATCAGCAAAGGTACTGGAAATCAAAATGTTGTTCGCGTGGTGGTAATTTTCTTTACTCAGAGCTTGAATAGTTTTAGGTTTGAATTTTGATATCAAAAAGGAATGATGATTGAAATTTACGCAGCAGTCATAAATCATGTTTTAAGGAAAGGTACTATAACAGTTGAAATTAGTGAGAAAAAATGAGAATTTCTCAACTACACAAACGCAGTTTAGCCTGACCATCGACTATTCGAAGTTCGGATGGGCTACTTTATTGAGGTCAAGAACCATGATAACCAGACAACTAAAGAACTGACATAAATCAGAAAAAGACTGACACTGGGCGAGGGCGAAAGCACGAAAAAATGTTTCCGGTTGTTTTGCGATTATGCATTGAGGGCATATACGACGCAAGTACATAAACTTCCTCGGACAGTCACAATGTTGTGCAATACATTCAGCTGCAATCTCCCTTACCTTGTAAAACACTCCAAGGAAGCCTTTCTTCTCAGAAAGAAGCCAGCTATGGATTCGGGGAACTCTCTTCAAGTAAGCACAAGAGCAGATGATAAGAAGAGCTACAACGACTAGTCCGTCCAAAGAATATGCTGAAATGATGCTTACACTTGTGCCAAAAATAGAACCAACAAAATTCGTAGAAAAAGGAAACTGATACCTACCGTTCATAAAGTCCTACAGTATCGACTGGCCTCCGGCACTAAAAAGGATGCATTTGACCTACACATTTGGTCAGGCTAGAAATATACCGATTTTAGGTGAGAGATAAAGTCGGTGCGACCGTCACGAAAAAGACTAGAGCAAAAACAATTATTTATAGATCTCTGAGATTATGCTAATCGATCACAAGTGAGTCCAGAGAGATCCGACCACAAGCGAAGTTGGAGGAATGCAGTGTACTACAAAAAATGCGTTATATCACTGAGACTTCAAAGGGAAATTTGGCACCAAACGAGCAACTAACAAGAGACTATGTAAATTTAAGACTAGAGTGATGTATAAAATTATCTACGGGAAAAAGATATACTCTGACTTATAAGTTTCTTTAGCAAGATCCCATCTATATTTCATAATTTCGAAATTTTCTGACAGCGTCTGAATGATATCTATCAGCTTCCCAGCGGGCAGAAGTTTTTGCCATATAATCTTTGTGCTCCTGCAGCCTAGCCTTCTCAGATTCTTCCGAGTCAGACAGCATGGGAGTTTGCTTGGGCGTGACCCAATGCATCGACTAAAATCAGCATACAACATACACATGAAAAAAAAACATCCAAGTGAAAAGTAACTCACAACTTTTACGGCATCTTTATTTCTTTTGAATTCTTCATAGCTGAACGGCAGAAGGCACTCGAGCCAGGCATCATAGCATTTTCGTTCTTCTGGATCTGATAACGTAGAGTAAGCGGTCTAAAAGAGGAATGTAGTATTCACGGATGAACTTTTGCAGTTTCGCCCACTCGTTTGACAGCTTTTTTGAGCATTTTTCTTATGTTAAAGAAATTTTCAAGCCGACCAGCATCGAAGACGCCAAGAAATAAACCAATTAGAGCGAAGAACAGACTTTCGCTGCGTAATATCAAGCTGGATTAGCGAACTAGTGAAAATGAGTCAATATAACATGATCATGTAAGAATAATTTAGTTTTCTACAATGAAAATCAAATTTTCTGTAGTCCGTAAAAACTTTTGTAAAATTTTATTACTTGAAGCCGTAGGTATTGATCCTTCTTGTCTTGATCACTTTCATCAAGCAGCTTGTCTGGATGGAGAGATTTTACGCGAGCGCGGTACTCGGCTGTGATCTGCTCGATCTGAACAATATGATATTTTTCTATAATTTAAACAAACCAAAAACTTACCGTACTTGCTCTGTCACATCCGAGGGTTTCATAATATTCAGCTTTTCTTGTATTATCACCGCTGAGAACCTGATCCATAAAATTCATGCTGAAGCCAAGCTCGTAAATTATGAGGTGACCAAGAGAAATTAGAAAAAAAGATAGGAAGGGAAACCCCTAGAAAAATTGATCGCATACGTGATAAATTTATCAATATGTCATCTTACAATCAATCTGAAGAACAATAAAAAACAACAACAACTGTAACAATAACAACCAACACAATAACAAATAATATGATCTAAGTAGCTTCCTCATTTTTCCTCTTTTTGGGGAAACGCTTTCCCTTTCTTTCGACATTTTTTGACGTTTGCCCGTTCTCACGCAAAAGTTTTTGTTTAGCCTCTTTGAGGGCAGCTTTCCGGAGATGTTTGTAATTCTAAAATATACATGAGCGTATTTCAAAATAAAAATACACGATTCTTCAAAAAATTTGAACAAAACCTTTGCAAACACATCCCGCTGGTTAGCCCATCGTGGAACAATCTTTTCTAGCGACTGCGTTCGCTTGAAGTTGCTGACCAAACTTTGTAAATGTGGTTCATCACCAGTAACAAAGAACTTCGTCACAGGTGCAGCCTGATTTGAGAAAATAAACATGCAGAGTTTAAGTTATGGTAGGCATACATACCAGATTCAGTTTCTGCAATCCAAGTTTGCCATTGATTTTATCGCTTTGTTCAGTATCTTCGTCATCATTTCCAAGAATTTTATTCAACTTCTGTAAACGAAATTCTCAAGAGATTTGTAATCATGGTAGTAACCAACCTTATTAATGACTATGTCTTCCTCCTTGCCTTTGACCTTATTTTCCTGCTTATCTTCCTCTACCGGTTCTGCTCTACCCATCATCGCCAGAAAGGAGAAACCACCGGCAGGAGCGTCATTTTTGGCATCATCAGCGCTAGCTTGTCCTGCCAAACGAGCTTTGAGCTGAACAGAAAGTCTGGTGAGAGATCTTAATAGCCATAATCACTTTTATAATTCGAACCTCTTCAGCAAAATCGGGCTGCATCTCATAGTGTATCCCCGTAGTTA